TTTAATAGTTGTATTTAAATTTGCATGGCACAGGGTATAATTTTCGCTTATTCTTACAATAAATTTCACGCCACCTTGACCACAAGGGCGCAAAATACGATCAGCGCGCCCACATGCGTGCCTGAAACTAGGTTTTGCTGCCTTAAAATTTGTGGGGGGGGACTTTGGTAAACCATTTGTCAAATCCCTGGGGTCCTCCAATACCCGGCCCCCGTGCACGTATATGAAAGGCAAATTCCCGACCCCCGCACGTGAACTGTCTATCGGGCAAATTCCGGGGGTGTCCCGGGGGGGTGGATGGTTACTCCAGGAATTGACTAATGCATAATAGTCCATACCAGTGTAGACTGAGTAGTGAGTATATAGTAGGGCGCCAGATAGTAAAGTTTGGTCTAGATATTTCAGCTTTGACTTTTGTCAGCTCACCTTAACTACGAGTTAAAAAGTGGTTGCAGGATACATTGAACTGTGTACAAAATATTGTATGTTCCCCGAAGGTTGCTGATGTTTCTTTTTCGTATATATTAACAATATCCTGTATATCTAGATTGGGTTTTTCATTATTCGGAGCTTGCCGCTAAGGGGGAAGGGGTTGCAACCTTAACGGCCAACTTGTTGTTTTAAAAGCATGACAAAACCTGTTTATCGACCGCCCCTTAGGCCCGGTTTAGATGGCGAACTTTTCATGCGCTGAATCTAATTGCCATAGATACAGTAAAAGACTGGAAACTGATTTAGACGTTGAACTTAATTGTGCTGCCGTACCAAATTGCAAGGACACTATATTGGACATATTTACAATGCTAATATATGATAATCATATTACAATGTTAAAAAATAATTATGCATTAAGTTTGGCACATGAAAAGCATGGCATCTAAATCAATGTCGCATATATGACTTGTCCTGTCGCATCTTCGAGTTGTGTCGAACTTAATCAAACCCTGCTAAACTTAATTGATTTAGACGCCGCTGTGAACAGCGTCGCACTTAATCCTTGCGTTAGATTCGGCACATGAAATGTTCACCATCTAAACCAGGCCTTAGCACTGGCACAGAAATTGACTGCTTGGCTGTGCATACAATGCAGCCATTCTCAATTGCCATTATAGACTAATTTTAAAACTAGGCAAGGAGATGCAAATAAATCACCACAGCTAGAAAGAGCATACTAAAATTAGTAAAATTACTAAGTTTGGTTGCCGAAATGTTGTAAAATGCGGAAAATATAGCCTTGCAAAGTTTGCAAATTTTGTATACTTTTGTATTGCGTGCGGACATTGCTACCGTTTTCAGGAATGCGGTAGGAATTTCCACATGCAATACAAAAGTATACAAAATGTGCGAACTTTGCAAGGCTATATTTTCCGCATTTTACAACATATTGCAACCAAACTTTGTAATTTTACGAATTTTAGTATATGCTCTTTCTAGCTGTGGTGATTTATTTGCATCTCCTTGCCTAGTCTTAAAATTAGTCTGGAATGGGAATTTTCTATTGTTCTGCTTCATTGTTGAGCAACTGCCATGCACCATGGAGGCATTCCCTACTCTAAAATAAAACGTCTTTACAGTCTGGGTCCATACTCCATATTTTCTTGTTCTATATATTTTTAGTTATTGCCTAGGACCCCAGCAAACATTGTTGATATATCTTTTTGTTAGGGTGGCTAGACTTTAGACTGCAGTTTAGGAGACACCAGTGCATTACTGACAGTAGTCATGTCAGATATGTTTTGGGATATTAATTAAGAAAATACTGAGAAAGAGGTTGAGGGTGTGTGTGCTCCCTCCCAATGTTGCAATTGCTTGCAACAGTGCAGACTGAAGAAATTTGTACATTAAATTTTAATGCACTAATAATTACATGGAAAAAATTTCTCAGTTCTGATCGGCTAAGAGCAGTGCAATTGTTTCGAAATACAGTGCAAAAAACCAAATACAGTGCAAATTTCTTAATTTTTAAAATTTTCTTAGTTTTTCAAATTTCTAAATTTTCTTAATAATTTCTTAATTTTTTAATTTCTAAATGTAACTTTTATGCACATGACTGCATAATTTTTTCATGTATATTATTAATAAGTAATAGCATGGTTTCTCATGCAATTTGAAAAAACATACACTCGCGTCCTTTGGACTTGTGCAATTTTGATAGTCTTCGAAAAACTCACTTGTGCATGTTTTTTTCCAAATTGCACTTGAAACCAAACTTACTATTATCTATACTGTACTTATAAACACAGGTCCTTGATTTATAGCAGCTTAATATAGCTGACCAAGTTAACCTGTAAAAATATAGTTAATTATTATTATTATTATTGAACATTTGACAGGCTTATAAATAATATACATCCTTTCTTAGTGGCATGGACCCACTTGTTTTCTGTACAATATGTGGTGTGGCAAGTTCAGCAGCTGGTTACATGTTGGGATGTGCATTGTATGGAGTGGTATGGCAATGGATGAATAAAGATCTGGCTCAGAAAATGAAGGAGGTGAGATGTATTTTCTACTGCAATAATATGCCCCTGTGGTGTTCCAATTGTAGGCAATACAGTATTCAAGAAGCTGAAAATATAGAACATATTATTATTATAGGGATTTGTAGATGGAAATTGCGAGTGTGTGTTACACATGGTTAGAGAATTTTAGATCTTGGGTGTGTTTCTAAATGACCAGGGTGTGCACATGTCAATTACCTTGAATAGCCAAATTCACGGTTCTACAACAACAGACAATGCCTGTGGTTGTTCTATGCTTTGCAACCAAATACAAGGCGAGCATACGCTCATATTGCGCACTGACATTAAAATATTAAGTTATTTCAGAACTCTTGGGGGTATTTAAAACCACTTTAACACCATACGGTTCCCATTATCCATCAAAACATCACAGATCACTTTTGCCAATTTCAACAACAACAGTAGATTTTACAAACCTTACGACGTAAATAGGAAGAAATTCTGTCTGTTGTAAGTAGCACCACCTTATTTTATGAACCTATACACGGCCTTATATAAATAATGAAGCCGCGTTCATTTTATGTAGCCGTGTTTATTTTATCTAGCCGTGTTTTTCCATTTTTGACCGCGATAACACGGCCAACACGGCCCTCTAGCTAAGACCCTGCTAACCATGGGCAGTTACGAAAAATGCAAAAGTTGCATTTTTTGCAATTTCTCCTGGTAAAAAACAACCAGTTCTATCGAGATGCCCAAGATCCTGATATTTACCCATATATTATTATAGATATTTATTAATATATTCTTCAGTGTTGTTCTTGAATAAATTGTCCAAACTTTATTAATATGTTTTGTTTCACTTTCACAGTCATTTGCTGTGGGTCAATTATGTTAGAACTAATTCTCGTCATTATAAACTCTCGTTGTGTCAATTCTCCCACTGACAGTAATTTCCACTAGTCACTACATATAATTTTGTTATAAACTTTAATCTTTTACCGTGTAAAATGTACCCTGGTTCCAGAGGCTCTTTGCGAGGTGAAAGAAACGAGAGACGAGAATTAAGGTATCATCGGTTGCAAATCCCACGTCCACACTTGCTTAGGTTCAGAATTTGAATCTTGCATGTGATTGGCCATTAGTAAAAATATGTCAAACCGGTTTGGGAAATAAACATTACTGTAAGCTAATTATTTCCCAAACCGGTTTGATATATTTTTACAAATGGCCAATCACATGCGAGATTCAAATTCTGAACCTAATCAAGTGTGGAAGTGGGATTTGCAACCGATGTGACCAGAGGCTCTTCCTTCTCGCCTCTCGTTTCTTTCGCCTCGCAAAGAGCCTCTGGAACCAGGACGTGTAAAATGTTGATATCTACAACAATACAATTTTCTTACTCAGTTAATTTAACTTTAATTACTCTGAGTAACTAACAGTTGCCTGTATTTGTAATTTAGTTACTCTAACACAACAGGTAAACTTCTTTTGAAACGTTTTTGGTAATAAAGATGAATTGTTGTTATTGTTATCAAAACAAGTGTTTTTGCTGAAATTGCAAAACATTTCAGGAATAGTGAAAGTGCAAAGTTTGAAACAATTTACGTAAAACAACGGAAGTTATACACACAGAATGAAGCGAAAACCCTATTAGATTTCTGTTGTTGCAGCGAAGCTTCCTGTGTGCATGTGTAGCTTCTGCCATTTTGACCTGAGAGATAAAATTGAAAATTAACTGACGTGTGTACAACCATGAAACTTGTTTAAATATGTTAACAAACAAATACCAACACTACTGTATGGTATAATAATTTTTATGGTAATTGTACAAGAATCTTTCCTCTTCAAAATATTTTAGAGAGAAGCAGATTTTTTTCAAAGACTTGAAAGTCATCGAACTGATGCATTTAGTAAATTTGAAGACGATTTTTATGGCGAAAGTATAAAGACATTAAGTGATTACCGCCAGTGGGTTCGTCAGATGCAGAGAAAAAAACGAGAGGAAGAAAAATATGGTAAAACACTCGTACAGAATAAAGAAAATGAAACAAGTTGAACATTATAGAAGATCTTCAAATAACAGATATTTCTTGTGTCTTATTCACATGGGACTGTGCCTTAAAGCAGCAAAAAAGTAAAAAAGAACAGAAATGTTTTATCACCTTTAAGAACTTTTGTGTGTTGTACCAAAGGGATGTTTTATGACAAAACCTCTAATCAGTTAACATTAGTTTGCACTAAGAACGTTAATGGAAAGAGTTTTTTCTATCATATAATGGAAAGAGTTTTTCTATCATAAAATGTGCAAGGTTTTATATTTGGTTGGAAGAACAGTGTTGGGGGTGGAAGCGAAATAATGAATAGCAGGAAAAATGAATATTTGAATTTAGAAAATCTTGAATAATGCTTTTATAACCGAATAATGACGAATAATTAATAAATATCTTCTTAAATACAGAGCAATTCGAAATATCTAAAATGAATAGCTCAGTCACAATTATTCCGCTCCCTCTTCACATCGCCCCAAGTGGGGGTCAAGAGTCTGTCAAGGGCAAAGGCCAGTTTTTATATTGTTTCACATTAGCTTTTCTAATAGGCGGAGAACTCAATTAACCACTTAAATTAAGCAAAATTATGCTAAAACATCAAGTCATTGAAACCCAAGAATTATGGGGTGTGGAGATATTTATGATGTAGCGTGAATAGAATTTAAATGATGATTGAACATTAAATTACAAACTGTTGACTGTCATGCTTTGCAGCTCTGTAACGTTTGTTTTTTTGTTGAGCATTTTACACAATCATCGTGGACGAAACATGTTTTCACTTCTTGCTGTTGTTAAATTATATGGAATTTGACTTTTTATCTTGATTTGTAAAAATGATTTTAAACTTTGAGGTTCAGATCCAAACGTGTTTTTTAGGTTTGCCCATTTGACGTCTCTAGATTGTCCGCATAAACAAACATAACTTTACACAAGAAATTACGCTCAAAGTCTACACTGAAGTGAAACTAGAAGTTGTATGAGGGTATACATAGCGTGTATAATATTGTAACACCAAATATCGCAATTAATCTAAAAAAAAATTTCTTTCTCCTGTCCTTCCAGGTTCAACTATTCTGAATAACTAACAGTTACCTGTAATTTTGTCTTCTTTATTTTTTCCTGTCTTTCCAATTCATGGACGAATGGAACCCACTGTTAAAACAGGCTCCACGGTCCCTAGTATATGAACCAATGAACAGAATGCACTAAACTAATAATGAATGAACCAGTAACGTAAGCTACGTCGACGGTATTTCCGTAGCACAAAAAACGTCAGGTGGCCCAGGTGGGGGACGTTTTCCCGACGTTGATATATAAATTGCCCGATGGGTTTATTGATAGATGAATAAAAAGTAAATAGAAGAAACGCATCTGCTATACACAGACGCACGCAAATGAAACCAATCTTAAAACGATAAATGAAAGATATCTATATTTACGAGTATTTCTGGGTTCTATTGTTTACGATAGGCCTAAAACTCGTCACTCCACTGCATTTACATTTAATGCAACACATTTCAATTTCTCTGACAGTCTGACTAATATTAACCAATATTATCCATTGAGCGCCAGCGCTCTCCCCTTTGACGAGTAAAATCATCTGGGTTTGAGTAAAGCTCGCGAAACAGAAGTGTGTGTACGGGGGGGATTTCTGATGTCATCAAGATATTGTTGCTAACGCCGAAGGCGTCAGCCTGCTAAACCTGTATTAAAAGCTTTGCTTACGTAGCAGTAAAAAATGTTCTTTTATGTGTTGTTTATTAAAGTTGAGATAAATTTGCCGTATAAGTTGGACGTTATATTGTGCACACGACCCCACTCCAATATTTCTCAGTGGATTTAATTAAGCGTCTCTCAAAGGTGGTCCCAATAAGGAGAGTGGGGGCTACGCCTCTGCTGGGAAGGCTTCAGTCCCCTAACTCCCCCTGTCTCTGTACGCCTCTGAATTGCTCTATGGACATGATAGTCTCCTTTTGAACTTTCAATTATGTCTATGATCAATCTCGTTACGAGATTGGTCTATGATTGACGGGTACATTACGTACATACGACTTGTACATTCTAATAAACATGAAAAAAAGTGTGAGCTGAGGAGGATGGAGCTCAGGGTTCTTCACGTTGCATTGGTACATGCTTACACGAAGTATTATGCAACTTTGACTATTTAGTTTCATTTTATAAATATCTTGGGTATATTGACTAAATAGATATCTGGATATATGCCTGGAACTTTTGCAAATTAGAACATTATCAACATTGAAAAATTTATTTATAAACAGTTTGTTGGTTGTTCAAAGTTTCGTGCGAACATTTTCGTGAAGTGGATTTATAATATCACATTGGTAAGAAAGAGAGACGTAAGATGGCTTCTTCAACAAGATGGCTGCCATTAGAATCAAATCCTGATGTAAGTGATTGACCATACGCCATTTAGAATTGCTTTGTTATGGCATTTAATTTTTAACACCACTATATCTGTTACATGTACAACATCAGTGGCAGCGAATGGCATAAAACATGTTACATCTAGTGTTTGACTGTGGGCCATTCCATATAATTCCATTTAATATCCACATGCATCCCCATGTGGACTCTTATTTTAGACCCCTTCGGAAACGGGTTTTTCCCAATGCGCTTCAGAAATTCTTTAAATTTACCAAACACCCTCGGAATTTTCCAATTTTTTTTCAACCCCTTTGTAAATGCCTGTTGATGAAGTTCACCAAAGAAACCCCCTTAGGAAATCTTTCCATTTCTTTCAACGACCCTCCGAAAATTTCCATGAATTATTAGTAACCCCTTTGAAAATAATCAAATTTTTTCTGATTAATTAAATTCCCTTGGAAATTGTGATTTTCAAGACCTGTTCAGAAATTACAAATTTGTGGACCCTTTGGAAAAGTGGAATTTTCTACCCCTCAGAAAATTCCGTTCATTTGGGGGCAGGGTTGTTAAATTGCAACATGAATTAGTTGATGCATATAGTGTTTGGGATGGCAAGCTAGGGGGTACAGCACTTGGTATACCAAATATTTTTTATATTTTTACACTTGGTATACCTCATAAATTGATCTAAACACCCAAAATGGCATTCAAAAGAAGTTTATAGTACCTGAAATTGTAAACTTCATACCAGAAATTCATAAAATTTAGTACTTTAATTATTAGAGGTGTGCAAATCCGATCCGAAACCGATCCGAGTCCAATCAGATTCATTCGGATTTCAGAACCAAAATATTCATTTCTGATCGGATCAGATTGATAAAGTTGTTTCGTAGTCGGATCAGACTTCGATATCCGAAATAAAAAAGGAATTAATTATCCATGCATTATCACAAGAATTAATTATACATGCATTTATCAAAGCATTATCACGGTTGTCTTATCACGGTTGTTGCATTATTCGTTTCAGGGATACTTCAATTGGATGTCACTTTGTCAGCTTCTTGACATGTATTTCTTGCTTTTATATTCATTTGGTTAAATATTTCAATTTGAATGAGAAATTTATTTTATTAAAGATTTCTTTGGATTGGATTGGAATTCTTTATCAAAACTCAGATTGGATCGGATTTGGATTAGACAACTTTTGATCGGATCGGATTTTAAACATTAGGCAATTGTTGGATTATAAACGTCCAATCCGAATGCACACCTCTATTAATTATATACCTTATAATTAAATCTGATTGTGTTTAATACTGGTCAGTGCTACGAAAATATATTTAATTAAATTTTTTATATTTTAAGAATTTATTACCATGCATTTGCATCAAACATTGCAGCGTGCGGACATTAACCAATTATCCATAAGAATCAAGTCTCGCAAATTTACTTAGGAAGGTAAACAACTAAAGTAAACATTTAACCCATTGAGCTGCAATGCGCCCCAGTGCGACCTACTTATTTTTTTCAGACAATTTTATACTTGTCAATGAGGAAGCTCTGCAGCTTAATTGATTAATATCGTTTCTGTCTTTTTATGCATGTCTCTTGTGTGAAGTGTAAGAGCGCGAGAACGTGCACAATCTATAATTTATTGTGATTAACGTTCATTTTAAACACAGATTTTAAACGTTTATACCGCCGTCCGACTGGTGCAACCCTCAAAAATTTAGTAAAAAGTTTAATTACAATTTACATCCTGTCAATGAAACCACCATGCATGGGCATGTCATATTTTAATTATCAATATGATTAATCAATATTAATCGATTGTTGACAACGATTAATCGATTACGAGGATTAACCAATGGGAGCAGCTCTAACTTTTACAGAATATGGCGTATCACATCAAATCTCACTACCCGAGCGTGCCAATTTTTTGTCCTCTTATTCCAGTCTGTCAAGAACCTCAGAGTTTTATAAGGCTTTCTTAATATGTCCCATACATTGCCAGTGAAAGTCTCCTAATCTTGTTTTAACGCTGTATAGTTACAGTGCAATTAGTTAGCCTGCACAGATTAGCTAGCAGAGTTCTCCAAAAGCTTGTTTGCATGAGGTTGATGTATAACTGTGGTTGTATATATTCATACAACCACAAAAATTCACATTTATATATTCATACAATTCACAAAAATCGACCATTGTCCAAGACAACTTGCGTATGCAAGTCTGTGAGAAGTTGAATTTCCCAGATAGTATTACTGTCTTTTGACCAATGATCCACATGCTTGTTGGATTTATGCCAGTGAGTGAGTGACAGTGGCTGATATACTACCGTTCTTTAATTTGCTCAAATTTGTGCAAACATTTTCAATGATCAACAATCTAACAAGTACTTTGTAGCCCCTTACGAAAAAAGTCTATAGGTGGCCTATAGGTTCCTATAGAAATTGTTCCAATTCCCTATAGAAGCCTTTAGGCACCTATAGAGCTCTATATATTATAGACTTATAGGCATCCATATAGGTCACCTATAGAAAACGTTCCAATTGCCTATAAAAACCTATAGGTTAATTTCTTATAGAAACCTATAGGTTGGCCTATAGGCCAGACCTATAGACTTTTTTGGCGTTACATTTTTTAAACAGCTATAGTCAATCAGCATATTTCTTGTCAAGTAGCAGTAGTCAGTAGCTGAATACATGTTGTAAAAGAGCTCTAGTGGGCCACAAAAAATTTGTAGTCAACCCACCGGCCTTGATAATTTCTTGTTCCATATGTCATTTTAGGTATGACAGAGCAGGCTCTATTATGCATTATTATGCCATGAGATAATGAAGTTTTGAGGGTGTGTGTTTCATATAAATTGAGTGCTTGAATGGAAAGAAGTGCAGTGGTTTTAATCAAATTATTTGGTGGAGGAGGGCAAACCTTCCCAACAAAATCAATGGGGACCAGTGTCCCTCCAGTTCCACCATCCCTGGTTTAAAAAATAATTCCAGAAAAAGTCTTTCGTTGTAAAATAAACTGATAACCAACAACTGGTGTTCTATGTGCCACAATATCATACCTCAAATTCCAATTGTTCAATCAGAAATCTACGTACAATCCTGGACAAAACATCTGCAACACTTCGAATTATTTGCCGACTTTCTAATATTGTCACAAATTTAGAACCCCCCCCCCTTACCCCCACCCCCCTTACCCCCACCATTCAATGTTCATATTGCATTCCCAGAATACGGCTAAAGCAATTGGAATACATCCAACATTGTTTTGGGGGGTGGCAGGGGAAAATCAATTATTCTAGTCGAATGGTAAAAAGTGTCACAGAGGAATGTTTTAATAGAGTGTTGCAGATGTTTTTGACCAGGATTGGTTTGTGCCACATGAGCATGAAATTTATCATCGAATCACGCTACATCATCATATTCAGTTAATGCAACATGTAATTTCAATATATCACACAGATGATCTAGGAAACCTAAACGAAACCCGAAAATATGGGTCTTCATTTTTCGAGATTACGAAAACCAATCTTCGCTTTGTATTACGAAATCAAAGACGCAACCTCCATATCGTATTGCAGAAACAAAGACCCATGTCTTTTCACGATTCGCAAAAAAATAAGCATAATAGTGTGTGAAAGGAATTTAGCAACAACTGAAGG